GATATTATTCTGGGAGCAGACACTGTGGGGGCTGGAGCTGTCAAGAAAGTGTACTCTGTCGCTGTTGAATATTAGTTTTTTAAAGTGTTTGTTTGCTACCAAACCTGCAGCTCCTTGGGCGGCTCCCTGCTATATTTAGTGGCTTACTCCCTGCGAGTATTGTTGAAACTGATCGTTGCGTGGTTAAAGAAAGCCAAAAATCGAGCGCTGTCACAGTCTTGAGCTTGGGACAAAAATATTGCATTTCCTGTGGGAGCAGCTACTTTCGGATAATAAAAGCTGAACTTGCTGGTTAAATGCGTTTTATCTTGGAATTCTGCACAGTAGGAAAAATGTCTCAGCTTGCATAAGCCCAGGTAACTTAGAAACTGCATTTTATAAGCATTCGCTACAGACACCCAGGTTTGTGTATACTGTTAAGTTGATATACTATTGTTGAAATATCGGGTGGCAGGGTTTTGCCAGTTGGAATAACCCGGTGCTTTAGCTTGTCTGTTGGTTTGTTGTGGTTGACTAGCGTTAAGCCACTTAACTATGTGTTGATGCTTCCAAAACCCACGTTAAACAATCAAACCTATTCTCTCTGTGGTGTACATGTAGTGTTTGAGTGTTGAGTGTCCTGTGGGTCTTCTCTCTTCTGCCTCTATTCTCTAAATCTCTCGTATCTTTATGTTTGATTGGCTGGATTATTAAATAAGCCGGTAGATGGAGGGGGGATGCTCTGACGCAGAGCTCTTGTTTTTTATTAGCGCGTGTGTTGTGATATATTATTTTTGTACGTTCTTGTCTATATCTGAAGGCTCTCTCTCACTCACCACACACACCACACTCTTCATCTATCTACACACACACATCTCATCTATCTATTTTTATAACGACTAGACTTATGTAATGATATTGTCTTCTTCTTATTTCCATTCACATCTCCACCTCTCCTTCCTGCCTTGTCATACTCTCATCCCCCTCCTCTCTCCTCCCCTGCCTACTGTTTTCCTTGCGCGCGCCTACGCCGTGTTCCACCTTAGTTTTCCAGTGTCCATCCATTCGCATCCACTCCAGAGCGGCATCCAATCCATCCATCCAGATCTCCACTCACTGGTCTGGCCTGGGCTTGGCTGGCAGCCGACAGGGGTGCCTGAGCCAGCGACTCGCTGCACATGTATCCTGCCGCTAACGTTTGAAGTTACTTGTGGCTTCCATTAGGACTAACAGAAAGCAGGAGGACGGAGGAGGACTGTGGAACCGAGATGGGGGAGGGGGCCAGGGGCGCATGGGTGAAGCGTGGAAGGAGAAGGGAGGAAGGGAGAGAGTGATGCAGGTGAAGGAGTGGATGATAAGGAATGAAATGGAGGAATGAGAATAGGGAAGGTTAGATGTGAGGAGGGGAAGGGAGAGGGAGGCACGAGTGAGACAGGGGCTAGACTAGTCTACATAAGATAGAGGTGAAAGAGAGTGAGAGGAGGGAGGCTGAATGAGAGTAGGATAGACAGACGGTGGGGTGGGAGGCGATTAGAGATGAAGATAAAAGATTGAGCAGGCCGAGTGGAGAAAGATAGAAACTGGCGGGGCCGGACAACGGGGGGCCGCTGATGAAAGAAGAAGGAACGATACAGAGTAGAGAGGACAAAAAAAGGGAAGGTGGAAGCGGTACGATGGAGATGACGTGTAGATATGAGGGAACAGTGTGGAAGAAATAAAACGGAAGAAAAGCAAAGGAACAGGGAGCGGCGAGAGTATATGAGATGAAAAATGAAGCACGAGTGAAGGATAAGAAGGGAGTGAAAAGAAGTGAAAAGGATGACAGGACGAGAGAGATAATGCAGTGAGGACTGGGAATGAACAGAGAGAAGGTAAGGGTGGTCACAGAAGAGGTACAGGTCACAGCTGTGCATGAAAGCCAGGCCACACAGACGACACGCACACACGAGACACACACACAACAACACAAAGTGACAAGCGACTGAACGATTGATAGATGTTGCATGTTTCGTGGGTTTGCTAGAACAGTTCAATATGGTTTTTTTGGAGGCGACAAGTTACTCCCAGCTCGGCCGAAGCTCAAGTCAGCGGTGCAATTAAGAAGTATGTCAAAACTGTACAAACTAGTGGACCTAATCTGTTGACCGAAGGTATTTGTTGGGCTATATATCTTTCGTCATTCCTGGTTGTGTTTTTGCTTCAGCTGCTGTATGATTTCTTTAAGGAGATTTGGGGGGTGCGCAGTTAGCGAGCATCAGGAGGAGCGCAGAGGAACCATATTTTTTTCACAGATTATCGTGCTCATGTTCTGGACGTCAGAGGTGTGAGTGAAGGGGGTGCGAGCGCGGAGCGGCGAGGCCCAAGTGCGGCCGGGCGAACGGGTATCGCGTGACATGGCGACATGGGCGGACGCGTCCTCAGATGACGAGCTCAGGGGGGCGAGTGCGCGTTCAAGAAAGGAGGTGGCGACGACGACTGGGACAAGGCAGAAGCTGAAGCAGCCTGCGGCCGCCGTTGCAAGGGTGAGCCTGCAGTCAGATAATCTGTTTGACGCGGGGTGGAGTGGTGTGCAGTGTCGGAGTGGCTGATTATACAGTAGATACAGTAGCCACAAAGGTGGATATTATTATGATTATAATGTGTATTGAACATGTGATTGATTTATTACTTCACTGAAAGCACCAAGCATAAGACATTTTTAAAGATCCTACATATTGTGGTCCTTAAAGTGGACCATGGTAACTTTTAAAAAGACGAAATGAACGATAATACCCTCTTACACCCCCAGTTGCCTCAATTTGAACACAATTGACTTGCCCTACGAATCTTTCTTTGCGTCTGCCATGACCATAAGCGGTTATCATTTAGCTAATTGTGTAGCACATTAAGATGAATAATCATATCGCGAGTGACTATACAAATAGTGGATTGGTTTCATTCAAACGTTTTTCAGTCATTCAAACATCACACTGTAGCACAAGAAAAAACACTGATTTTTTTTAGTGCGTACAACATATGGATAACTTTAGCACACACTGTATTGATCTTGTTCCCAAAACTTGTGAAGTGAATAATCTTGTTCCCACAAAACAACACAACATATGGAACTTTTGCGCAGTTATTATCTTGTGGATATAAGGTCCATATGTATTGCAGACCAGCTAATAACTTCTGAGACTCACTATCTTTATAACTTATGCGTAAAACATATGCATTGAACAAGATATGAACTTGTACACAGTATATTTGTCTGCACTGAGTAATTATCTAGTGCACGTAAGATATCATCTTTCAGGACTTTCAGGGCTTTGTAGTAGAATCAAAATCAGCCTAACAGCATCAATACAGTAATAGGCCACTTGGGGCCCTGAAATGAGGAAATTATGAGTGAGTTTGCTTAACTTTTGGCACAATGTAGGTATTTTCCGTACAGTTTTATATCTGCAAATGTGAGTGAATGCTGTTGAATAAAAGTTTTCACTGTAAATTCAAAACAAAAATAAATAAGTTGACAAAAAGGTTGTCTATATAAATAAAATATATAAATA